ATGTACGAGATGAATTCAGTGGATCTAGGTGTTAGATTCTCTTTCACCTCTATAGACTTTCCCTCTCCAGACTTTAGTTGAATCGTTCGTCGTCGGCAATCGATAATTGCTTGGTGTTCGGTGAGCCAATCCATTCCGAGGATGATGTCAAATTCTTTGTACGGTAATTCGACAAGATTGGCAGAGAACTGATGTCCTTTAACAATCAATGGACAGTCTTGATACACATGATCTAACCTCATACTATGTCCTAACGGGTTAGACACTAGTATAGGTTTTTCTAAGTTTTCTTTCATTATGTCAGCCTTGTCAGGCATAGGCACGCAGAGATAAGATAACGTTGATCCGGGATCTATCAACACATGCATGACAGAATCAAATAAGGAAAACATACCCTGAATGACGTCAGGGTTTTCCTCAGCTCGTGCCTTCATTTCATATGTACGAGCATGAGCTCGTCCTTGTTGTTGGTTCTTATTCTTGGCTGGATTAGACCCCGCTGTTGAGTGTTGACTTGGTGCGGGTCGTGCCGATGCTGCTTGACTAACAACAGCGGCAGGTGGATACGGTTCTCCGGGGTTTGTAGGGCACTCCTTTCGAAAGTGTCTTGGTTTTCCACAGCCGAGACACAACCCTTGCTTAAGCCAGCATTCTCCAGGGTGATTCCTTCCACAGTGCTCCCAAGCTGGATACCTCCGCTTTTTGGACTTATCAACGGATGCCATCGACTGAGTTTGTATAGATTTTCCCTTTTTAGAGAAATGTGAATTGCTAGGTTCTTGAAAGGGCCTTTTCCATTTTGAGGCAGAGCCGGTGGGACGATGAGTGCTTGAGCCGACATTATTTGTCTTCAGATACTCAATGCAAGCACTCAAGTCGCTGTCTACCCTGGCAATGAGATCGTAGGCCTCCGCGAAATCCACAGTGGTTAGAATGGATACACGTGACCTGAGGTCAGGTCGAAGTTTCTTCCTGAACTCTTCAATGCGATCGGTTGGGGTATTTACTAAGGTTGGTGCAAACTTTGCGAGTTTGGTAAACTTCTGACGATATTCAGGGAGTGTCATGTCTCCCTGTTCCAGTTCAACAAATTCCTTACATCTTTCCTTGCTAAATCGTTTCGGAATATATTCTTGCTTGAATGCCCATTCGAAATGTGCCCATGTCCACGGCTTAGGGGTTCCTGCACTCTCATCCGTCCTTTTCCACCACGCGTAGGCTTCCTTTCGAAGCAATTGAGAAGCCAGTCTGGGATAATTGTCCATGGGTACATTGAGATCTTCTAACACTCGGGCAGTCTGCTCGATCCAGTCCCACGCAATCTGGGGTTCACCGATGCGATCCCCAAGGAATAAATCTGCACCGTTATCTCTTAGCATTTTGTAGGTTATCACTCGAGGTGGCGGTGGTGGAGGTGGTTGAAACATTGGCGCGTTGGCTATTTGTTGCAACACATTAGCTAGAAATGCTGGAATCACAAGGTCGGGTTGACCACCAGCGTTTGGGTTATTCCCAACATTTTGTTGATTGACGGGTTCATTTTGGACGGGAGGGGTGAAACTAGATGCTTCAGTATGAACACTGACGTGTTCATTGTTGCCTTGTCCGTGGGCGGATTCTTGACTCATTCTACAATAACAGAAATTCCTTTATTAGGATTCTTTTA